TGGCTAACGTACTGATGAGGGCATTTCTAGAGTTCGCATTTTAAAATACGCAACAGCCTGGATTTTCTTAACTTAAACATAAGTGCACAACGTGTATAACCAAATTTTACCAATATACATTCAAGGTATAGTACATGTACACATATTTACTCACCTGTGTTAAACTGTAAATGCAATTAGGAGCAAATATAAAATCGGCGCAAATGAAAAAATGAAATCGGCGCAAATGAAAGAATGAAAAATTATAAAAATCGGCGCAAATGTCATACGCCCAATACGGTATCACTCTGGTCCAATTGTGCTCAATTGTTTTTTTTGCCAACAATTTAACTGCCGTTATAAAAGCATCACCTCTAATGTAGGACCCTTACCTACTGTCTATATCTCTTGCAAACATTAATTTTATAATAGATATAGGAAGATGTGGTATGAGTGCCAATGAGACAACTCTCCATCCAAATAACAATTTATAAAAGTAATTTTATAAAATTGTTTCTTAGCAAAATTTAATGTTTTTGTTTCGTAGTGGACATTTTGTCAGGAATGTCAGGGACACACCTTTTAAAATTAAAAACCATGCCTTTGTCACTGGAAACTGTTTATCAAAATATGTTGGCTCTAAACATACTTTTGAATAATTACTTATATCAAGTAAAAATAACATTTATTTTTACCTTTTTTACAATGCATTGTATTTTAAAGTATGAATGTTGAATAGGAGATCTAGGGACATGCCATTTTGCCGGGTTATTTTGAACCATTCAGTAATCAATATCTTATCAATCTCTCTAAAAATAGTATGTTTCTTTGCTTAAAAATGTTAAATCTAATTAAATGTACTGACTGCACAAAAAAAAATGCTTGTAAAGATAAAACATATTTTTTAAAAAGTGGCTGGGACAAGAAATTCAGTTTTTATTGAAAAACGCCCATATAAGGGCTAATTTCGACATCGATAATAATAATTCTCATATTCTAATTTTATTCAGTCGGTTTAAGTTTTTAATCGGGACAAAGTTTTGTCATAATTTCTTCATTTGTCAGCAGGGACTTTCTTGTTGTCAGTAAACAAAACAGTGATTACACAAGGGCTAGAGATAAGCACTTAAGCATCCAATACACAAAAATGCACGATTCAGTTACTTCATCATGGTAACAGAGACATATATTACAATATATATTGTATTATATGTCTCTGATGGTAATGCATAACTGAGACAAATTTTTTAGTTTGTTTTCAAAATGATTAAAGTTTGGGTATTAATCAATCTAATTAAAATATAGATCTCGGATTTCGTTATACTACGTTATACTACATACGATGTATGTAGTATAACGTAGTATAACGAAATCTATATTTTAATTAGATTGGGTATTAATGATATGTTTATTCCCAAGAAATAACATATATATTGATATTCTATTCATAATCATTTTTGTGCGAAAATGTAACTTCGTGAGGGAGGGTAGGAGGGATCCTGATCCCGAAATCCCGAGGTCCCGAATTTAAATAAATTAAAATCCCGACATCCCGAAATTCGAAAAAAGAATTCCCGGATCCCGAAAGGGTTAATCCCGAAATTCCTTTTTAGCTCACCTGGCCCGAAGGGCCAAGTGAGCTTTTCTCATCACTTGGCGTCCGTTGTCGTCCGTCGTCGTCCGTCGTCTTTAATTTTTGCAAAAATCTTCTCCTCTGAAATTACTGGGCCAAATTTAACCAAACTTGGCCACAGTCATCATTTAAAAAATGTGTCCGGTGACCCGGCCAACCAACCAAGATGGCCGCCATGGATAGAAATAGAACATAGGGGTAAAATGTCAATGTTGGCTTATAGGGGTAAAATTGTTTATTATGTCAAGATCTATCTGCCCTGAAATTTTCAGATGATTCGGACAAACTGTTGTTAGGTTGCTGCCACTGAATTGGTGATTTTAAGGTAATTTTGACGTTTTTTGTTATTATCTTGAATGTTATTATAGATAGAGATAAACTGTAAACAGCAATAATGATCAGCAAAGTAAAATCTACAAATAAGTCAACAAGACTAAAATGGTCAGTTGACCCCTTAAGGAGTTATAGCCCTTTATATTCAATTTTTAACAATTTTTCGTAAATTTTTGTAATCTTTTACAAAAATCTTCTCCTCTGAAACTACCAAGACAAATTTAACCAAACTTGTCCACAATTATCATTAGGGTATCTAGTTTTAAAATTGTGTCCGACGACCAAGTCCGCTAACCAAGATGGCCGACATGGCTTAAAATAGTACAAAGGAAAAATGCAGTTTTTGGCTCATATCTCTGAAACCAAAGCATTTAGAGCATATCTGACGGATTAAATTGTTCAATAGGCCAACATCTATTTGCCCTGAAATTTTTAGACCATTGACGCAACCCGTTGTTGGGTTGCTGCCCCTGAATTGGTAATTTTTAGAAAATTTTGCAGCTTTTGGTTATTATCTTGAATAATATTGTAGATAGAGAATTACTGTTAACAGCAATAACGTACAGCAAAGTAAGACCTAAAAAAATGTCAACATGACTAAAATGGTCAATTGACCCCTTAAGGAGTTATTGCCCGTTATAGTCAATTGTTAACAATTTTCATAAATTTTGTAAATTTTTACAAAATATTTTCCACTGTTACTACTAGGCCAAGTTCATTATAGACAGAGATAATTGTAAGCAGCAAGAATGTTCAGTAAAGTCAGATCTACAAACACATCACCATCACCAAAACACAATTTTGTCATGAATCCATCTGTGTCCTTTTTTTGATATGCACATAGACCAAAGTGAGCGACACAGGCTCTTTAGAGCCTCTATTTCATGTCCTGCTGGTTAGAACAGGATCGCTTTTTCATGCCCTGCTGGTGAAAACAGCATCTTTTTATAACCAAAGTATATTTGTCTAGAACAGGATGGCTTATTTAACTTGGCAAGATACAGTCTAGAACCTGGGTCTAGAACTGCATCTATATAACTGCATCTATTTTATACGGTCTAGAACAGGGTAAACATTTTCTGAACTTGTAGAACAGGGTATGTTTTTCAATATTTTTGTTTAGATGTGGTATGTTTTTCAATATTTTTGTTTAGAATAGGGTATGTTTTTCAATCATGGTTTTCTGGTTAGAACAGGGTATGATTTGACAAGTGCTGGCGGCACAGTTATACCCGAAAGGATAGTCAGTACCCCCCCCCCCCCCACCCCCCCCCCCCCCCCCGGGTCGGATCTCGAGAGCCAGATTGGATCTTGTGTCTATGAGCTTCCAGGGGCGTAGCTACCTTCTTAATGAAGTGGAATCACAAACTAAAGGGCGAGGGGTATGGGGATCGCTTAAGGCCCCAAGTGCCCTGGTAGGGGGGCTTGGGGGCAAAGCCTCCCGGAAGCTCCGCATATAGCGTATTAAAACTTGTACATTTTTGTTGTGGTTTTTTTTGGGGTCAACTATTTGTTTAACTTCGAGTTGAATGAAGACTAAACATTGTCGTTCGCGTTTTTTTGTACACCGTGAGAGCTTTTAAAATCACGAAGATTTGTTTCATATGCTAGTACTTGTATTGATAAAAGAATATGTATAAAAAAACAAACAATATACATAAACACAATACTATATGTGGAGTTTCTGTTAGCATAAACATAACAAAACAATCAATCAGATTGAATCGAAGTCTTAAATACGAATTTACCGGCGAAATTGTCATAAACGGACGTACACCTGATATCTAGATTTCATTACGGCAACCTGATTTGAATCTATATAGAAATAATCATATATTTATTTCCTGACACAACTTGAACAACTTCAGTGCTTAGCAGTCCGTGCTTAGCCGACAAGTTACGAGGGGAAATTTCTGTGCTTACTCAATAGACACACTTCCGACAGCAGTTGACCAAAGTTCCCGCCCTACCGTGATCAAATAATCTACGTATTATTTTGTTCTTTTCTAGAATATGCATGAAATATTTGCAACTGGACGACTACCAAACAATAATATGTAATAAACAAGTTGCTTTCTAGATACAAAACTAAACGCAATCGTGAACCTAAATGCCTGTTTGGTATATAAGATCACATAATTGTTACATAAAGATCTGATGCATGATTTTACCTCATTTTATTTTTATATAAGATGTAGAAAAACTGACATGGATTCTTAATGAAACTGCTGTTCAATATTGGGCATATTACTGTAAGAGTAGAAACAATTTGAAACCTCAACTTTATACTTCAGTTAAATCAGTTTGTTCAAACAAATCTCACTTTTTTCATTTCATAACTGTTTGTAAATTAGCCAAAATATAATAAAGCTGTTGATTTGTTGTTTTATACGATTGTGTGACAGACAGAGGGAAGCAGGGATAACGTTGCGAAAAATATTGTTCCTAAGTTGTGCTATTTTTTGCTTATGAATACAAACAAACAATCGTGTCATATCAATAGAATTATTGTAAGGACTAAAACGCATATTCATTTATGAACTGTTTCAATATGACATATAATTTCTGCATTTAACACACCTGAAAGTTGCTTTTGAAATTTCGTCGTAATTTCCAGGGTTAACTTGCATTTTTAAATAAGATTAAGATAATAGATGCATCACGTTAATACCCCTCCCAATCTGTCCGATTGACCAATTCCTATATGTTAACTTTGTCCGTCTCTCTCTCTCTCTCTCACTCTGTTGTTTTTTTTTTGTTTTGTTTTTTTTTTTGGTGAAAATGACGTGGATGCACGTGCTGTCATCAGTGGCGGATCCAGAAATTTTCATAAGTGGGGGCCCACTGACTGCCTAAGAGGGGGCCCGCTCCAGTCATGCTTCAGTGATTCCCTATATTATCAACCAATTTTTTCCCAAAAAAGGGGGGCGGGCCCCCTGCCCCCCCTAGATCCGCCTCTGGTCATGCCTCCGGGTAGCTACGCCCCTGGCTTCGGTCCTTGCTTGGAAGTTGGTGTTAGAGGAGATCTTTGCAAAAATGATCGTATCACTAACATCGTTTCTCTCCCCTGTACCTCGATGGCCCTCTTTTCGACTTTCTCAGGTATTGAAATGGAATGCATTATTTAATGATCTTTAATTTTCTGGTCGATATGAAAGATAGGCTAATGAAAATGTTTTAGAATTTTTTACCAATTTTTAAAAGTGATATAGAAATAGTATCTCGAATAAATCGGAATTACTGAAACGCCCCGAAAAACTATCAGTATCATCTAACGAGATCTCTCCATCCTATCACTGTCAATATATCACTGGTTCCAGAAATTTTCTTAAGTGGGGGCCTACTGACTGCCTAAGAGGTGGTCTGCTCCGGTCATGCTTCAGTGATTCCCTATATAATCAACCAAATTTTTCCCAGATTAAGGGGGGGGGGGGGGGGGGGGGGGCCTGGGCCCCCTCTAAATCCGCCTCTGTCTATGTCTATGATAAGTTTATTTCCTATTGACTTCCTTGTCTTCCCGTTGTCTACCCTAGTCCTGGGATATTTGACAAACTACGTAACTGCATAAGTATAAACAAGATGTTTAATCAAAAAGACTGTATGCATGATATGTGTGGTTGAAAACTAGTTAAAATACAAGAAATATACAGTGGTGGCTAATCTACTGATCATTGTAAAAGTTCCAAATCATGCAAGCCAAAATATTAACTTGTGCTGTTTTCAAATCCTAAGCTGTAGACTGTCCTGAGCCCGGTGGAGATGTCATACTGTGGATTCATTTATTTTCGTGGGTACCAATTTTCGTGGATTAAGGAAAACTTACATGTTCGTGGATATTTAAATTCGTGGTTTTGCTAAAAGTCTGCTTACAAGCCTTTATGAAATTTGTAATTCGTTGAACATTTATTTTCGTGGTTCTTCTGTGCCCACAAAATCAATGAAAACTGGTATCCCATGAATAATAATGAATCCACAGTATTTATAGTTCCTAGGAACAATGAGCTCAGCTGGGATGTCCGGCACTACCAAGAAACAGGTAGTCCATACACCTGTCCATCTGTCAAATTTGCCTTCCTTTCAGCTTGCTCAATAATTTATTGTGTGCATGTAGGGATAGCAGTTACATGTTGAAATCCATAATTATTTAGCATATATATAAAATTGAGAATGAAAATCAGGAATATGTCAAAGAGACAATAACCCGACCAAAGAGCTGACAACAGCTGAAGGCCACCAATCGGTCTTTAAAGCAGCTAGAAAATCCCACATCTGGAGGTGGTACTCAGCTGGCCCCTAAATAAAACTGTGTACTAGTTCAGTGAAAATGGACGTCACACTAAACTCTAAAACATTTAACCGAACTAAATTTTTAAATAAAATTGAGAATGGAAATGGGGAATATGTCAAAGAGACAACAACCCAACCAAAAAGCAGACAACAGATGAAGGACGTCATACTAAACCCCGAAATATTCACAAGAAACTAAAATTAAAAATCATACAAGACTAACAAAGGCCAGAGGCTCCTTAGGACAGGCGCAAATGCGGCGGGGTCAAACATGTTTTGTGAGATCTCAACCCTCCCCCTATACGTGAAGCAAATGTAGAAAAAAGAAACTCATAGCAATACCCACAGTAAAACTCAGTTTAAAAGGAAGTCTGAGTCAGATGTTAGAATAGGTAACAAAAGAAACTAAGCAAAATAACAATGATACATAAATGAATAAAGGACTAGTAGTAGTTACTGACATGCCAACTCCAGACCTCAATGAAACTGATTGAAAGATTATGTCTTTATCATATGAAAATCAAGTACAATCCCTCCCGTTAGGGGTTTAGTATCATACCATCATCAGACATGTGACAGAGTTGTCAAGCCACAATTGGGGATTTGGAAATATCTGAAAGTGTTATTAAATTTTTGAATCAGATGTTGTTTTTGATAGGTCTTTGCTGATTTTAGTCATAAATTGTAATACATATACTAGTAAACAATACAGAAACAGGTACACAATAAGTGGTGCATAGTAATATAATTCTAAATGGGAATTCTGATAACCTGATGATATATGGAATATCCATAACAAACAAAAATGAACATAAACATGCATGAATAGTTTTTTATAAGTAGCAGCATGATTTTATAACTTATTACATATCAGGAATTTCTAAAGACCATACTCGCAAATGGTGTCAAGGGAGAGCTGAACATTCAGTCTCTAAAATGTTCTCCCCAGAACGGGGATCGAACCAGAAACCTTTTTGTTAGTAGTCAGATATTTGATAATAAATTAATACTAAGATGCATTTTGTAACACCTGGTGATCCTTTTATTTGGCAATCCAACGCAATCATAGGTTTGAACGTTGTTTGAAATTTAGACTTGTGTATATATGTATATTATATATAAAATATCTGGATATCAGTCAACAATCTTTCTTACGACCGCCCTGGATCCTTACAAGTAACGATACATGTACACTGTAAATATTTAAAGCACTTGTCTAACATAACATACATTTAAACATAAAATGTTGATCTGTTACACATAATAATGGTTTGTTTTGTGTGTATATACATGTATGTCATGCTGCCAATCAAGGGCCCTTTATTGAAATAATAAATATTCTTATTCTTATTCATTGTATTTCATTTTGTTTTCACATTCACATTTTTCAGGGCTATTTTAAGATGGTTTTCCTAACTTTACCTAATATCTTTGTGAGTCTGATGTGATATTCTTGTGGATCTGTACCATCTATATACTGTGGATTGGTTTATTTCTGTACCATCTATATACTGTTGATTGGTTTATTTCTGTACCATCTATATACTGTGGATTGGTTTATTTCTGTACCATCTATATACTGTGGATTGGTTTATTTCTGTACCATCTATATACTGTGGATTGGTTTATTTCTGTACCATCTATATACTGTGGATTGGTTTATTTCTTGGATATTTGATTCCATTGTTTATACCAATCCCTTCATACAAAGCATATGCACAATTTGTAATTAGTTAGACATTTGAATTTGTGGTTGTACCCACTAAACCTAAGAAAATTTGTATCCAATGAATATATGAATGTTGAGTATGTAACAGAAGAAGGTAATTAATAGTCTCTAATGTATAAGGGCCTTGTTGAGGTCTATTTGGGCGATACTTATTCAAACTTTATTATTTGGTTTTATCACTGTGACAATTGAATTAATCCAGAGTTAATCTGAGGAGTATATATATAACCAATTTGTTTTCAATTATTTCATTTTGTTCCCATTTTCTTGAGTTCTTTATTACTAAAGCTGGTGGTTGATTATTGCTTGAAAGTCAACTCGTGGTAAATCAATATAAGTTAAATTCAACTTGAATAATTTCTTAAATAACTTTTTTGGAAAGATTTGAACTTAAGTCCCATGGCAATATTAGCCTTTCAAACAGGAAGTAGCCAGATGAGCTAATTAATCTATATACAATCTGATATATACTGTATAGTGGGTTTTTTTCGCGGGTGTAAAATTTCGCGATATAGGGGCAACAAAGTATATGAAAAATTTTGGCGGTTTTTATTTTGGTGGATTCTTAAATACCAATTAAATATTTTGGCGGATACTGAAATGGTTGTAGCTAAAAAGTTGTAAAAATTGACAAACAAGTGTCTATTGTTATTGTTAAATGATTGTTTTGCCGGCATGACGTCTTATTTGTTGATTATATATTCATACAGTTAATCAATAGAATACAGGTGTACACATTTCTTGTAAATATTACGGTTGATTAGTTATGAAATTGATTGGACCTTTTAAGTACTAATTAGTTTTAAAATAACCAAAAGTGACTTGCAACTCTTAAATATAATTTGACACTAATTGATAAGGGTAAATATCTGACAGAGTACCTTACACTTATATTATTTGACACTAATAAACTAATTAACACCTATTAGCCATTTTATAAAATATATGTAATACTACCTATAATGCACTTTGGCATTTATGTTGTTAAAACTAACATAAACCGTTATTGACCCGCCGAACGGAAAAATACATCGTTTACAAAACGCTCAAGCTATTAGAAAGTATCGTACGTATGCATAAATTTAAGCGGAATTTATTATCGCGATTTTCCTTTAACCGCTAAAATAAGCGAAAATAAACACCCCGCGAAAATAACCTGCTATACGGTAATTCCCAATAATTCTCTGTGAAAACACATGCACATATCAAAAGAAAACTTTTAGAGCAGTTCATGCAATCATGCAAGTATGTTCATCTTAAGTTTTGTCAATTTACTTGCGAGTTTTGTAATTTTTGTCTTTCCTGCAACAAAAGTTGCAAAATGAAAGACAGCATTAGCAGTGAGATAAATTAGTTTTATAAAGGTTTATATTTCAGAAACTAGAAGAAATTACTTGTATAAAGCTTTTTCATTCAGAAGGTAGAGAAATTAGTTTTATAAAGGTTTATATTTCAGAAGGTAGAAGAAATTACTTGTATAAAGCTATATCATTCAGAAGGTAGAGAAATTAGTTTTCATGATAAAGGTTTATATTTTAGAAGTTGCTGATTATATATTTTCAAAGAGAAATTATTAGTGTGTATATTGGTAATAAACAGATTTTACATGATGTTAATGGCATTGCAGAGCCAGGAAAGTTATTGGCCATTATGGGCCCCAGTGGTTGTTAGTTGCCCCTTGAAAACATTAATTATATGGAAAATTACATCATTTGCACACTCATTCATGTCATTTGTACAATTCTTGCCATATTTGTATGAAACTATGTATGTGACTGTTAATAAACCTCATTAGAAAGTGTAATTGACTCTAAAATGTTTGTTTAAAGATATAAGAAGATGTAGTATGTGTGTCAATGAGACAACTCTCCATCCAAGTCATAATTTGTAAAAGTAAATCATTAGTTTGCATAGAGTTTTCCCTTACCTTTATGATTTTTAAATTCCATGTGTTTAAAATATTTTTTTTTCAATTTTTGAATTTCACAACGCCCACTTTAGATTCTTTTGAACATATAATTTTCTTTTGTAGAAGTTATGATTGATCCAAGTAAATGAAATAATGGACAACTATACAAAGCATCTTAAATTCAAAAATATTAGTGTGTATATTGGTAATAAACAGATTTTACATGATGTTAGTGGCATTGCAGAGCCAGGAAAGTTATTGGCCATTATGGGACCCAGTGGTAAGTTGTTGGCTATCATGGGGCCCAGTGGTAAGATATTGGCCATTATGGGGCCCAGTGGAAAGTTATTGGCCATTATGGGGCCCAGTGGTAAGTTGGTGGCTATCATGGGGCCCAGTGGTAAATTATAAGCTATTATTTGGCCCAGTGGTAAGATTGGTTATCCTCAGGACTGGTAGGAAGTTATTGGCAATCATTGGGCCTAGTGGTAAGGTATAAGCTTTTATGGGGCCCAATGATAAGTTATAGGTTATCGTTAGGACTGGTGGGAAGTTATCTGCAATCATTGGGCCTAGTGGTAAGGTATAAGCTTTTATGGGACCCAGAGATAAGTTATAGGTTATCATTAGGACTGGTGGGAAGTTATTGGCAATCATTAGGCCTAGTGGTAAGGTATAAGCTTATATGGGCCCAGTGATAAGTTATAGGTTATTGTTAGGACTGATTTGAAGTTATTGGCAATCATTGGGCCTTGTGGTGAGGTATAAGCTATTATGGGGCCCAGTGGTAAGTTAGTTGTTATTGTTAGGACTGGTGGGAAGTTATTGGCAATCATTGGGCCTAGTAGTAAGGTATAAGCTTTTATGGGGCCCAGTGATAAGTTATTTACTATTGTTAGGCTTGGTGGGAAGTTATTGGCAATCATTGGGCCTAGTGGTAAGATATTAGGTATTATGGGCCCAGTGATAAGTTATAGGTTATCGTTAGGACTGGTGGGAAGTTATTGGCAATCATTGGGCCTAGTGGTAAGATATTACCTTTTATATGGGGCCCAGTGATTAGTTATAGGTTATCGTTTGGACTGATCTGAAGTTATTGGCAATCATTGGACCTAGTGGTAAGGTATAAGCTATTATGGGGCCCAGTGGTAAGTTATAGGTTATCGTTAGGACTAGTGGGAAGTTATTGGCAATCATTGTGCCTAGTGGTAAGATATTACCTCTTATATGGGGCCCAGTGATAAGTTATAGGTTATCGTTAGGACTGGTGGGAAGTTATTGGCAATCATTGAGCCTAGTGGTAAGGTATAAGGTATTGGTAAGTTAGTTGTTATCGTTAGGACTGGTAGGAAGTTATTGGCAATCATTGGGCCTAGTGGTAAGATATTACCTTTTATATGGGGCCCAGTGATTAGTTATAGGTTATCGTTTGGACTGATTTGAAGTTATTGGCAATCATTGGACCTAGTGGTAAGGTATAAGCTATTATGGGGCCCAGTGGTAAGTTATAGGTTATCGTTAGGACTAGTGGGAAGTTATTGGCAATCATTGTGCCTAGTGGTAAGATATTACCTTTTATATGGGGCCCAGTGATAAGTTATAGGTTATCGTTAGGACTGGTGGGAAGTTATTGGCAATCATTGAGCCTAGTGGTAAGGTATAAGCTATTATGGGGCCCAGTGGTAAGTTAGTTGTTATCGTTAGGACTGGTGGGAAGTTATTGGCAATCATTGGGCCTAGTAGTAAGGTAGTATCTAAAATTGGGCCCAGTATCTTAGTTCTTCAACAACGAACCCAACCCATACCACATTGCCAGGAAAAAAGGTCACAACATGATAAGATGTAGAATAATTCAAACAAGAAAAACAACTGCCTGATTAATGTACAAAATAATTAATGAAAAACAACAGCCTGATTAATTTACAAAACAATCAATGAAAAACGAAAAATGATAGACATTGCCAATTGTTACAACCACTGAATTACAGGCTGCTGACTTCATGGACTTGGAAATGTGACAGGGATAAACATGTTTGTGAGCACTTGACCCTATCCCTAACTTGGGACAGGTACTTCAGAATGTGGCAGGGTTAAACATACATGTTTATGAGCAATCAACTCTATCCCTAACCTAGGACAACAAAAGAAAGACTAAAGGAATGAAAATCTAGTTAAAAGCATAAAACAGCTAATGAATAATCAAGTTTTCTCAGACTTCAAGATCAAACATTACACATACATATAGTAGCTATAGTTATCATGAACAATGGAGAAAACATGTACCAGATTATGTTACGATGCAAAAATATAATGGCATGATGTGTGTCTGTAAGTGTTCATAATTGTACAATAATCTATAAATAGTTATATTTTTGTCGAGCCTTCGACTTTAGTCGAAAAAGCGAGACATAGCGAATCTACATTCCGTCGGCGTCGTCGTCGTCGTTGTCGTCGGCGGCATCCACAAATATTCACTCTGTGGTTAAAGTTTTTGAAATTTTAATAACTTTCTTAAACTATCCTGGATTTCTACCAAACTTGGACAGAAGCTTGTTTATGATCATAAGATAGTATCCAGAAGTAAATTTTGTAAAAGTAAAATTCAATTTTTTCCGTATTTTACTTATAAATGGACTTAGTTTTTCTGCCGGGAAATATTACATTCACTCTGTGGTTAAAGTTTTTAAAATTTTAATAACTTTCTTAAACTATCCTGGGTTTCTACCAAACTTGGACAGAAGCTTGTTTATGATCATAAGATAGTATTCAAAAGTAAATTTTGTAAAAATAAAATTCAATTTTTTCCGTATTTTACTTATAAATGGACTTAGATTTTCTGCCAGGAAACAACAAATTCACTCTGTGGTTAAAGTTTTTAAAATTTTAATAACTTTCTTATACTATTTTGGATTTGTACCAACTTGGACAGAAGCTTGTTTATGATCAAAAGCTAGTATCTAGAAGGAAATTTTAAAAAAAAAACAAATCCGTTTTTTCTGTATTTTACTTTTAAATGGACTTAGATTTTCTGCCAGGAAACAACACATTCACTCTGTGGTTAAAGTTTTTAAAATTTTAATAACTTTCTTATACTATTTAGGATTTGTACCAAACTTGGACAGAAGCTTGTTTATGATCAAATGCTAGTATCGAGAAGGAAATTTTGTTTTCTTCCAGTTAACATAACATTCAGTCTGCAATTAAAGTTTTTAAACATTTATTAGATTAATAAACTATCCTGGATTTTTACCAAACTTGGACAGAAGCTTCTTACAATCAAAAGATAGTATCAAGAGGAATATTTTTATTGATTTACTTCCTCATTTTTGTTGAGCCTGCGATTAACAGAAAAAGTAGGCGAGACACTGGGTTCCGTGGAACCCTTACAAATTTTTATTCATTATATATTTTACAGATAAAACAATACTATGGATTTATTATTATTCCTTGGGTACTCATTTTTGCCTCCAAAGTGGACTGAGATTTTAAAACAGTAAAAAAAGGCTTGTTTAGAAATTCTAAAAGGGAAATTAGAATTAAAATAAAAAAGACTTGTATATAATATTACAACAATCGGAACATTTCCAGAACCATGTAATCAAAGGGCAGTCACTGGATCTGCATCCTGCTACAACTGAATGTATTTTAATAGACTTCTACTCATGTTAGAAAAAGAGCTTTAAGAGTCAATTTTGATTGAAGTGTTCAATTGTTTATTTACAGGAGCAGGAAAAACATCATTGTTAAATAGCTTGGCAGGTAGACAGACAATAACATCAGGGGAAATAACTCTGAACAATTCAGCATTCACCAAAGATTTGAAAAGGAGGATCTGTTATGTACTACAACAGGATGTTTTCTTTGAGACTTTGACGCTGAGAGAAACTCTACAAGTGAATATTTATTAAGTTTATTTCAAAGATTTTCACAGTGCAAATAATCTTAATATTATACTGGCTTGAATTACTACACATGTAAAAATATTCTCATTCTTCTTTTTCACATTATTCGTATATTGGTATGTTGTTGTCTTCGTTGTCATCGTCATCGCTTTCATCGTCTGAAGACATTTGGTTTCCGGACAATAACTTTAGTATTAGTGAATAGAAATCTATGAAATTTAAACAGAAGGTTTATAACCACAAAGGAAGGTTGGGATTGATTTTTGGGGTTTTGGTCCTAACAGTCTAGAAATAAGGGGCCAAAATGGGGCCCAAATAAGCATTTTATCTAGTTTCCAGACATTAACTTGTGGAAGGATGTATGGATCTTTTTTTCTTAAGATTTCAAAAATGAAAAAGAAAATTTAGGGGGAGGGGGGGGGGGGGGGTGCGTGTCAATTCTCAACAGCATAATGTATTGCACCAAACCAAAAAAAAGGATTTTTTTTTTTGGGGGGGGGGGGGGGGGTCAAATCGCAATAGCATGGTGTATTGCACAATAGCAAAAAATTGAATATAAATTCTAATCATATAACCAATTCTAAGTTCTACAGTTATTCTGTGTCAGAAACCTGTTATGTTTCAAATATTTAATTACAATCCGAATTCTGACCTGTATCAAGTGCGAATATTGTGCCCATTTTTGCCCAAGCTGTTCAGGGTTGGACCTCTGTATCCAGCTGCGCTAGGCGAAGCAATTTATTATATTATTTCCTTTGAAATTAAAGAATAATATCAACTTTACATACATTTTTGCTGTACTGGAAGAATTAAAGTTAAGAACTTAAATTTTATAAAATTCTTTAAAAATTTAATTTAATTAAAGCTACAGAATTTGTTTTTTCTTTTAAGTTTGTTGCCAATATGAGATTACCAGACAGCCTTACCAACAAAGAGAAACAGAAGTTTTTGGATGGCATTATCAATGACTTACACCTGAAAAAGTGTCTAGATACATGTAAGATAATTACCTTCAGGGGATAATGATCTTTTCTCTCAGAAGACAGTTTTACTTTCTTACAGCTGAACTATGTGTTTACTTCATGCATAGACATTCAGATACTTTGTTTGTTAGTGTACCATGAATTTTCACTATCTAATGTAAATATAGACACAAACTGATTACTTTTCGTATTATATGATTATCTGGTTCCTTAACCTGCTTTTGTTTGTTGGTGATGCAAGTAAAAACAACTGGAGATCTGTTTTTGTCGAGCCTGCAACTTTTGTCGCAAAATCAACATTCAGTTGTTGCCAACGACGTCCACAAATATTCGATCTGTGGTTAAAGTTTTTGAAATTTAAATAACTTTCTTAAACTTTCCTGGATTTCGACCAAATTTAGACAGAAGCTTGTTTATGGTCATAAGATAGTATCCAGAAGTTAATTTTAAAAAAAAATTATATTTATCTGTATTTTACTTTTCAATGGAATTAGTTTTTTCTGCCAGTTAACACTCTATGATTAAAGTTAAAATTTTAATAACTGTCTTAAACTTCTGTTTAAATATTTTTGTAGTAGTTGGAGGTGGAATGATACCAGGTTTATCTGGTGGAGAGAGAAAGAGAGCCAATATTGCTTGTGAAATGTTGACAGATCCTTCCCTCATTTTACTAGATGTAAGTATCTAACTTAATAACAAAGTCAGCTTAACAGAAGGTATGTTTATTGTGTCATCTGTCTAACACAAGTTTGCTGTAGAAATTGTCAACAGAAAGTTTGTTTATTGTGTCATCTGTCTAACACAAGTTTGCTGAAGAGATTGTCAACAGAAGGTCTGTTTATTTTGTCATCTGCCTAACATAAGTTTGCTGTAGAGATTGTCAACAGAAGGTCTGTTTATTGTGTCGTCTGCCTAACATAAGTTTGCTGGAGAGATTGTCAACAGAAAGTTTGTTTATTGTGTCATCTGTCTAACATAAGTTTGCTGGAGAGATTGTCAACAGAAGGTCTGTTTATTGTGTTATCTGTCTAACATAAGTTTGCTGGAGAGATTGTCAATCAGTCAATAGGTAATTTGTTTATTGTGTCGACTGCCTAACATAATTTTTGCTGGAGAGATTGTCAACAGAAAGTTTGTTTATTGTGTCATCTGTCTAACATAAGTTTGCTGTAGAGATTGTCAACAGAAGGTCAGTTTATTTTGTCATCTGCCTAACATAAGTTTGCTGTAGAGATTGTCAACAGAAAGTTTGTTTATTGTGTCATCTGTCTAACATAAGTTTGCTGGAAAGATTGTCAACAGAAAATTTGTTTATTGTGTCATCTGTCTAACATAAGTTTGCTGGAGAGATTGTCAACAGAAGGTCTGTTTATTGTGTTATCTGTCTAACATAAGTTTGCTGGAGAGATTGTCAATCAGTCAATAGGTAATTTGTTTATTGTGCCATCTGCCTAACATAAGTTTGCTGGAGAGATTGTCAATAAAAAGTCTGTTTATTGTGTCATCTGCCTAACATAATTTTGCTGGAGAGATCGTCAACAGAAGGTCTGTTTATTGGGTTATCTGTCTAACATAAGTTTGCTGGAGAGATTGTCAATCAGTCAATAGGTGATTTGTTTATTGTGCCATCTGCCTAACATAAGTTTGCTGGAGAGATTGGCAATAAAAATTCTGTATATTGTGTCATCTGTCTAACATAAGTTTGCTGGAGAGATTGTCAATAGAAAGTTTGTTTATTGTGCCATCTGCCTAACATAAGTTTGCTGGAGAGATTGTTAACAGAAAGTTTGTTTATTATTTCATCTGTCAACAATATTAAAGTTTGCTGGAGAGATTGTCAACAGAAAGTTTGTTTATTGTGTCATCCGCCTAACATAAGTTTCCTGGAGAGATTGTCAACAGAAAGTTTGTTTATTGTGTCATCTGCCTAACATAAGTTTGCTGGAGAGATTGTCAACAGAAAGTTTGTTTATTGTGTTACAGGAACCAACAACTGGTTTAGATATCAGTATTTATAACAAGGTTTACTATTACAGGAACCAACAACTGATTTAGATATCAGTATTTATAACAAGGTTTACTATTACAGGAACCAACAACTGGTTTAGATATCAGTATTTATAACAAGGTTTACTATTACAGGAACCAACAACTGGTTTAGATATCAACATTTATAACAAGGTTTTCTATTACAGGAACCAACAACCGGTTTAGATATCAGTATTTATAACAAGGTTTACTATTACAGGAACCAACAACCGGTTTAGATATCAGTATTTATAACAAGGTTTTCTATTACAGGAACCAACAACTGGTTTAGATATCAGTATTTATAACAAGGTTTACTATTACAGGAACCAACAACTGGTTTAGATATCAGTATTTATAACAAGGTTTTCTATTACAGGAACCAACAACTGATTTAGATATCAGCATTTATAACAAGGTTTTCTATTACAGGAACCAACAACCGGTTTAGATATCAGTATTTATAACAAGGTTTACTATTACAGGAACCAACAACTGGTTTAGATATCAGTATTTATAACAAGGTTTACTATTACAGGAACCAACAACTGGTTTAGATATCAGTATTTATAACAAGGTTTTTCTATTACAGGAACCAACAACAGGTTTAGATATCAGTAATTATAACAAGATTTACTATTACAGGAACCAACAACTGGTTTAGATATCAGTATTTATAACAAGGTTTACTATTACAGGAACCAACAACTGGTTTAGATATCAGTAATTATAACAAGATTTACTATTACAGGAACCAACAACTGGTTTAGATATCAGTATTTATAACAAGGTTTTCTATTACAGGAACCAACAACAGGTTTAGATGCCAGTACAGCTTACAGTTTGATTCATACTCTCAAGACATTGGCACAAACCAAGAATAAGACAATTGTAGCAACCATACACCAGCCATCATCTAAAATGTTTTATCTTTTTGATAAACTTCTGCTGTTATGTAATGGACAGGTATTAGTTATTTTGGTTAATTTTCGTGAACTTAGTAGGAAAGAAAAGCTTTTAACAATAATCTGCATAGTAGTTTTCTGAAATATATAGATATGAATGTGTTACAAATGACAATAAGACAGATTTTTACCAGAATTTAAATATGAAGATAAAGGTTAATATAGGTCACTTTACTTGCTTCAAAAATGAAAAAAAATCATACAGTATGAAACTGGGTGGAAATGGGCATCATCATAAACTCGGTTGTAAATATAAGGATTCTTTATTAAAGGTCTTAGGATAACAGGTGTCTCATATAAAGACCCTACAAAACATAATTATAAAATACTATAAATACTGGTGCAATGATAGATAACTCTGATATCTTTATGAACAAGTACATTGCACTGTATAACATTCTAAGTAAAATAATATTGTCATTCTCTTTTACATCTATATTTCTGTCTCAAAGACTCAACTTAAAATTGTGTCTTACATGTGTTAGTTTATGCATCTCATAAACTTAATTGCAATAAATATTCTGTTACCATGTAAATAATATACTCTACATTAATTCCAGGGGTTAAAAAATTTTGTTACAGCTCACTAGCCCAGGACTTATTGGTAGCAGGATTTTACTAGCCCTGTTGGAAGAACTGCTAGCCCATCAAAACTGACCTGCTAGCCCGAGTATGTCTAACAAATTCAGAGTTTGCTGCATAATACAATGACTTCTTTAAACTTGTTAATTTCTATCCGTTGTACTATGGGTTGTTAAATATTTTACAGGACCTCAGGGATTTAAATGGATTGAAGAGTTAATCCGATAATACACGTGTAATTAAATTTCCGGTCACTGACCACTGTATTGATTTATGACATTCTTTTTGCACGAGTGTTTACCTAAGATTATCTCTGATCACCATGATAAACTACAGAAAACATGTTCATTGGTCTTGTCATGTGAAACCAGTGGTTCAAATCATATATTTGTTCCCACATACAAAGCAGACTTTTTATTAGCGTGATCGGGAAAATAACGGCTATATTCACAAAAGATTGTCTCTAGTTTATCATCAGCATCAGCCAGCCTTGCCCTGGGAATCTTTTTGTCCATGACACTATAAATGTTCTTTTCCGTTTTTCCCGGTTGTAATTGGCATTTTTTTAGATGAATTTTCAGCCTCATTACCCCCTTCATCTACCGTTTTTTGTATTGAAACTGACCAAGTTCCAGGGGTGTCCGTACTAAAATATTTCAAATATTTTGTTAGATGGTTTAGTGCTCAACAGCTGTCCGACATGACAGGTCAATATCGATCAATGCATCATACCCCCACTGGCCCCAGTACCGTTACCAGTAATTGAAAATCTCGGCATAAGCAATGTACAATACCCCCTGTCCTGAGAAATTGATATTGAAAGTATGGGAATTGCGATCAATACATGATACCGGTCCACCCAGAGTTATTTGTTCTGTACTTAAAACATGTACAAAATCAGTTCAAATTCTTGGAATCCCGGATGACGTAATTGAATCTGATTGGCTAAGATAGAATAGTGATGAGGGGATTTTCCACTTTCTATTTTGGAAACACCAAGAATGTTATGTTACTAGTCCGTCGGGCATATTGGGTTACAAGTTTTGATTGCCCGAAGCGTAAATGCTGTAGCCCCGGGCGTCGGGCTAGTGGATTTTTTAACCCCTGAATTCCGTAAATAGTAATAAACTAAGCAAAACAATTAAGCATTAAAATATCTACATGCAGCAACTAAACAAAGTAAAGTAAGCAAAATAAGCAAATTATTAACTAAATTTTAAAACAACATAATAGAACTCTTTGCTTACCTCAAGTGCTAATTTGAAGGTCACAAGACTAACATCATATGTTTATGGCTACATCAAATAATAACCTGAAGATAAATATGAATTTATAACTAATGTGTTCCATGTCTACAATATGACTTCATAATATGAACACAAATCAAAAATAAGAAAATCTGTTCCCTAAGATACTAAAACATAATAAAGGTTTAAAATGAATATTTAACTATTTAATTACTTCTTATTTATACACAAGAAAACTCTTTCTTTCTATTTAATATCATTTCACTCCAATGCTATATTATAATCTATTATTTAGGATTATTTAATATATTAATCATTTATCAATCTTTAATGATTTAAAGCATGTTATGGTTAATTAATTGTATTTATCATTCTTAAAGGTCAGATTCACACTACAAATTCATTTCTCCATTCAATCCAATCAATCTAACCAAATTTTGCATACTCTGTTAAAAACTCTAGGACTATTAAAATAATGTGAGAAAAGTATATACAACTGACCTGTAAAGTAGTAATTCAGATTCCCAAAGATTCAGCAATAAATATAACAATTTATATGTATATCAAGCCAATTTACAAACTCCAGAATTGTGAAATATAACTGCTCAGTTTGACAGTTGAAATGAGAGTGGGCAGAATAATAGAATTTCCCTCCAAAAGAACATGTGACCAAAATCACTATCCATAAGAAATATAGCCTTAATTAAGATTCTAGTCAGCTATAAAATAAACCTGACATGAAAAAATAGAAAATAATTCAAACAGAAAAACTAATGGCCTAATTTATACAAAAAAAATTCAAGAAAAACACATATGACAGACATGAACCAATTACAACCAATGAATTACAGGCTCCTGACTTAGGACAACAGAATTGGGTGGGTTAAACATGAGTGCTTCCTCCTAACCTGGGACAGTGGTGTTACATCAATGATCACAAGTTATTGTGAAATGGCCCAACTCAATAGATCAGTGTGAAGCACAAATATACCAACTAACATGCCATATTATTGCTACATAACTCCTATAGCAAACCAAATCACTAGGTTCTCTGTAAAACATGGAGGACATTGCATAGTTTGTGTTCAGTGTCATATCCTATTGGTAGTCATTGATATTAACATAATTTTCAAGTTTTCTGAGTGCTGGTGTTTTGCTGAGATTCTTTTTTTTTGTATACTAATCAATCTAAATAGTAGGTTTTGACTTTGGATTTTTAGACTGAATTTGTCTGTTTAGGCTTGTTTTGATTGAGTACTTATGATAGAGGATTGATATTTAGTTTATCCCAGTTCTTTCCCTTGTCATCTATTTGGAACTGGAACTGGAACCCAAGTTTAGCCCATTTTTTCAGTGCAATTTTATCATAATTGAGGGACAGATTTTTTATTCTCTAAATTAAACTGCAACATTTCAATTGCTTTTCATAATAGTAGTCCCCGCCATGGTTTCTTAAAGAGTTCTCCAAGATTCATGACCAGCATCTAAGAGAGCAATACATTTTTGAGTATTGATAGAGTCATTTCATCCTGGCTAAATGGAACATAAGTTTGGGCCCATTTACTCAGACAATCAACCATCAATACATATAGAATCACTTAGAATTTAAAAGAAGTTGAAAGATGAATGAATACCCTTATTTAAGCATCTTTACATAATTTTATCTTGGTACAATATCCTATTTAAAAGATGACAAATTTATAAAGGGACTTCATTCCTGGATACTCTACTGACATTCCATTTATTCTGCTAACAATGTTTCCAAAATTGTTTCTTTCAAAAATTTCTACACAAACATAATTGCATATTTTCTGCACATATACTGATATTGGAACAGAAGTTATGGTAGAGAAATGCTATTAGAACAATACTTTTGTAGGAAATAATTTTTGTTTTTCTATAGAGACTGAAAATAATGATGGAAGTGGATGCCATACCTTTAAGCCCTAGAGGATCAGCCATTCTTCGGTGACTTTGAAGCATCTTAATGAGTCAAAAGTCATTTTTTTTTTCATTTTGATTGACAAATAAAAGTTAGGAAATATAGGTCATTCAGGCCTTCAGCAATGAGCAAGATAGCAGGCTATAAAAGGTTATAAAATGTAAAACTATTCAGACAAGAAAATCATCAGCCAGATTTATGTACAAAACAACCATTGAATTTAGGGTCATGACATGACTTCTCAAAGTGTGTGATATGACAAGAAAAACTTTTAAATAGCTCACTATTAGCTTGTATACCGTCAAAACATTATTTTTTTAAAAGTTTTGCAAGAAATTGTATAACGTTCATGTTAAATTAGGCCATTCATGCTTTAAGTATAATGTTATATATAAATGAAAAAAAATCAGTAACTGAATGAAGAGAGCACAAAATTGTAATTTACAAGTAAGATGTAAAAAACTGTGTATTAAAGATGGAAAGGAATGTTCCTGCTTAAAACCCTAAAAAATATTAGAGATAAAAAACGTAACAGTAAAACCCAAATTGTCAACTAAACACTACTACTATCAAATGAATCACATGTAAATGTTTAAACAAGCCATAGTTTGCTTTTTAATTTGATTATTCTTCGGTACGTCTAAACACTGCTAAGGAGTCCTTAGTGCACTAAGGACGTATACTATGCCACTAAGGACAAGATGGGGTGCTGTTACATGTATTATTTTTCCATATTAAGTTAGAGATTGATATTTAATACATAAATTTTAAATTTTATAGAAAAATAATCACAAATAAACGAGTTACTAAGCATTGTTTAAGCACGTGCCCATTTTTCTTTGATATGCCGAAAATCGGTGAACCGATTGACACGTGCCATATAACATAACAACTGAATAAACAATCAAAATCTTTTTATTTTAAGTAATTAACAATTGTATCCAAAAGATTAATGCTTAATAATTTATAATTAAATATGTTGTTCTTATTTGCAATGATTAAAAGGACAAATAATTTTATTTATTTTTTATATCTTTCTCGACAAAGTTATTTGCCATCTGTGCACGACTTTGATGTGCGCCAACTAATAAGTTAAGAGTGTGGTCTGCTTGTTAAATGTTTATGTAAGAGCATGGAAGTAATATTTAAAGATACCAAGACAAAAGGAATAGATATATTTATAAGTTTTTTGTTTTAATTTTAATTCCGACAAAGATGCGTGTTTCATTAAAATTTATGAGTAAATTCCGAAAAAAAACTATCAAAACCTGGTGTTTGCTTCTCCACTTTCTATTACTGCTTCATACTTAGTACGAATTATGATTGAATTGAAAAAAAAATCATGTGACGTCCTTGGGGTTATTCAAAACCACTAGTTTTCAACCAGTTTGATAGCTGTTTACAAAGGCTTCATACTGTATTATTTTTTTGTAATTGTTCGACATTTTTTTTTCTCAAAGTATAAGAAGTTTAAATATCATTATCGAACTTTGAAGTTTCATTTTCAAATATATAAAGGAGACAAATGTTTTTTTAAATGTTCCACAGTTTTTAGCACATTATTTACGAAAATTATCCCGTATGTGTTAATTTAGAGCTATAGATATAATTTTGACATAAAAAGGTTATGCTTCGTACGATTGCTTTGAAAATATGCTTTTTCATGATGTGAAAATAATCATTTTTTGTAATACAAGATAATTTGAATACTTTATACCTAAATCTGTCACGTGTAAAAATGAAAAAAAACAAGGATTTGTATAGTATATAACTATACAAATCCTTGAAACAAAACCAACAGAAATATTTTCAAATATAATTTCTTTAAATCTATTTTTTCTTTAAGAAGAACACGTATGTCAGAAGGAAATCCGATTTGTATTTTTTTAACCGTGGCAAATTGTCTGTTTAAGATATTGCATGAAATAATGACTATGTTGTATGTGCTTTACTCATTGTTGAAGGCCGTACGGTGACTCATAGTTATTAATTTCTGTGTCATTTTGTCTCTTGTGAAGAGTTGTCTCATCGTCAATCATACCACATCTTCTTTCTTATATTGGTTGCATGTAGTAAAAATTTATTATCATATTGAATTCGTTTTTGTCCAGAAATATATTGCTCAAACGTGTTCTTCATATGATAAAAATTTTGAAAATGAACCATAGCAAACGCAAAAGATATATAAACTCTGTCCAAACTGTTCATGTTTTAAATACGTCTGTTTACATGTAGCTTGCATTGAATAAGTTTGGTATTACGTAGTAAAAATTTTGAAAATGAACCATAGCAAACGCATAAGATAATCTCTGCCCAAACAGTTCATATATGAAATTAGTGTGGTTGCATGTAGTAAAGATTTATTATCTTATTGATTTCGTTTTGTCCAGTAATACATTGCTAAACGTCTTCATATATGACAATAAATTTAGATAAATTGCTCTGGAAACAAATCTATTATTTACAAGAAATAATTACAAAATACTCTTGAGAATCTGAAAAAAAAAACATGAATAAAATTTTAACAACTTATTCAGTGCGAAGTCAAATCAAAATTGATCACTGAACTATAATCTGAAAACAATTCATTTATTAGTATCCAACTTTTCCAATATTGTCGATTAAACACAACAGATAGCAGGATTCCTGTGTAATCAGTTATGTAATTTGACACGTGTCTAACGGTTCATTGATTTTCGGCATATCAAAGAAAAACAGGCACATGTCTTCACAATGTTGAATAACTCATTTATTTGTGATTATTTTTCTATAAAATTTGAAATTTATGCATTAAATATCAATATCTACCATAATATGAAAAGACATTAAAGGTAATAGCACCCCATCTAGTCCTTAGTGGCATATCATAAGTCCTTAGTGCACTAAGGACTCCTAAGCAGTGTTTAGACGCACCCATTATTCTTTGCCTTGAAGCACATTTCATTGAAACTTGATATCATCCAGTTTGTTTTTCAAAAGACAGACCTATTGTTTTGAAAGTAAATGATTGTAGGTAAATGAGTAATATGATCCTGGCACTTAAAAAAATTATTTAGGTGATTTCCATTTAATTCACTTGGTTTTTTAAGTTAACACTTGAGAAGTGGAAATAAAAATTAAAAGTATACATTTATATTTGATTTTAGTTTATATTGAAATTGATAAAGTCTTACTGATTATAGATGGCATACTTTGGTGAAACTAGACTTGTTGTTGATCATTTTGAAGATGCAGGAATTCCAGTGCCATCGTGGTACAACCCAGCTGACTTTATTAGTAAGTGGACATTAAACTTCTTTTAAAATCTGAAAATTAGTTATCACTGCTAAATTAACTAGCAGCTTCTTTCAAAATTCAAGTGTCAAACATTTCATCCACATTTAAGACGCTAACATACAAGTGTTTAACATTTAATCTATAGGCTCTTTCAGATCCTAAAGAACAATGGGTAATTTTATTGTTTGTATCTCAAAATTAAATTACCATCACTTCATAAGTTGAATATCAATTGTTGCAGTCATTTTAGACCACTCATGACACTTTGGAAAATATTACCCAGATACATTAAATTCTGAAACAGCGAATTGGCTAGGTTTGGTGGCCACAGTAGACCGAAAGGTAATTAGAAAAAAAGTTAGATGTGTTTTACACTGTCTGAATACTGGATAATGCATTTAATGACTGTTTACATTTCGATCAGCTGTAATTATAACCCCCCTTTAAAAGAGTGTTATACCCCCGCTTTAAAAAAGTTGGGGTATACTGTTTTTTTTCTGTTTGTCAATCCATCAGTGGTACTGTCCGTCTATCTGTCCGTCCCATGAATATTTTCGTCTCATCTTTCTCAGGAACTACTTGACAAGGATTTCTGAAATTGAGTTTCAGGGTTCATATAAGTCGGCTATACCATGTGGTGCGTTTTCAGATTCATCACTCAACAACTTCCAGTTAACCGAACACTTGTATAATTTAAACATGAAAGCCAAAAAGCCAAGTGGAAAATGTTTGTCACATTTTTCCGATGAACTACTATACAAAGATTTCTGAAATTTTGTTTCAGGGTTTATATAAGTCAGCTATACTGTGTGATGCGTTTTCAGATTCATCACTCAACAACTTCCGGTTAACCGAACACTTGTATAATTTAAACATGAAAGCCAAAAAGCCAAGTGGAAAATTTTTGTCACATTTTTCCGATGAACTACTATACAAAGATTTCTTAAATTTTGTTTCAGGGTTTATATAAGTCAGCTATACTGTGTGATGCGTTTTCAGATTCATCACTCAACAGCTTCCTGTTAATTTGAATATTTCAGCGGGGTAATCATCAGTGAGCAGTAGCTCACAGTTTCACTGAACAGCAACAACAATACTTTATTTTTAGAGAGTTACTCAGTTAGCTATATAACTTATCTTCCCCGAGGCCCTCAATATAAAACAAATCATAAACAAAATGCAAACATCTACATTGCATACATTAGTATAAAAGTCAAGTATGAAAATAATGTTAAATACAACTTGATAAAATGTTATGAAAGAAATAAACGTGATGACATAATCAGTTTTCAATATTTTTCAACAGGTGATTTCAATAAGTGATCTGTTATTTTGTATTTGAAAGAATTAACATTTGTGATATTTCTTAACTGTATATGTATCAACAAATTATTCCACAAGTATGGTCAAGAATACATAACAGATTTGTTTTATATGAAACTAGAGAGGTTTAAGTGACTCTATACTCCTGTAACCTATACTTCAGTGGTTGTCGTTTGTTTATGTGTTACATATTTTTTTTTCGTTCATTTTTTGTACATAAGGCCTTTAGTTTTCTTATTTGAATTGTTTTACATTGTCATTTCGGGGCCTTTTATAGCTGACTATGCGGTATGGGCTTTGCTCATTGTTGAAGGCTGTACAGTGACCTATAGTTATTAATTTCTGTGTCATTTTGGTCTCTTGTGGAGAGTTGTCTCATTGACAATCATACCACATCTTCTTTTTTAGCTCACCAGGTCCGGAGGGCCCCATGTGAGCTTATGCCATCACTTGACGTCCATCCGCGTCGTCTGTCGTCATAAACTATTTCAAAAATCTTCTCCTCTGAAACTACTAGGCCAAATACCTTCAAACTTTAACTAAATGTTCCTTAGGGTATCTAGTTTATAAATTGTATCCAAAATTTTGATCCATCGACAAACATGGCGGCCATGGCTAAAAATAGAACATAGGGGTCAAATGCAGTTTTTATACGACCAGAAAAAAATTTTTGCGTCGTATAATGCTATCATGTCGTTGTCGTCGTTGTCGTCGTCCAAAGACGCTTTTAGTTTCCAGACAATAACTTTAGTTTAAGTGAATAGATCTCTTTAAATTTTTACAAGAAGTTTCAATACCACTAAAGGAAGGTTGGGATTGATTTTGGGGGTTATGGTCCCAATAGTTAAGTAATTAGGGGCCAAAAAGGGGGCCCAAAATGAGTATTTTTGCAGTTTTCAAACAATAACTTGTGTTTAAGTGTATGAATCTCTCTGAAATTATTCCACAGATTTCCATACCATGAAGGGATGGTTAGTATTGACTTTGGGGGGTTATGGCTCAAAATGTTTTGGAATTAGGGGGCAAAAAAGGGGGAAAACTAGGTTTTTCTGGTCAATGGACAATTAAGACAATTTAAAAGCAGTGTAAGGAAGGTAATTCAAAAACATTTAACATACAATGTTGGGTATGTTCAGATATTCCTCCCTTACACTTCTTGTGAATTATGTATAAAGGAATGTCAGGTTTTGGACTAATTGTAAAAAAGGGGGGGTGGTAGTAGTTTTCAATTTTTTTTTCCAAATTTCTCAATTTCCAAATTTTTGAAAAGTTTGAAGAAGAAATCTTTAATTGCACAATATTGCGCAATAGATTTGTAAGATCTTGACGTTTGTTTTGTGTTAGAAACTCATATTATATCAAAAATTTTATCACAATCCAAATTCAGAGCTGTATCAAGCTTGAATGTTGTGTCCATACTTGACCCAATTGTTCAGGGTTTGACATCTGCGGTCGTATAAAGCTGCACCCTGCGTTGGCTTATATCTCAAAAACTAAAGCTTTTACAGCAAATCTGACATGGGGGTTAAATTGTTCAATTGGTCAAAATCTATCAGCCCTGAAATTTTCAGATGAATCGAATAACCCATTGTTGGGTTGCTGCCACTAAATTGTTAGTTTTAAGGAATTTTTGCAGTTTTTTGTTATTATCTTGAATATTATTATAGATAGATATAAACTGTAAACAGCAATAATGTTCAGCAAAGTAAGATCTACAAAAAAAGTTAATGACCAAAATTGTCAATTGACCCCTTAAGGAGTTATTGCCCTTTAAGGACAATTTTACATTATTTGTTCATCAAGTTTGCTAATATTTAAAAATCTTCTCCTCTGAAAATACAGGGCCAAATACCTTCAAACTTTAACTTAATGTTCCTTAAGGTAACTGGTTTATAAATTGTATCCGAAGTTTTGATCCATCGACAAACATGGCTGCCATGGCTAAAAATAGAACATAAAGGTCAAATGCAGTTTTTGGCTTATATCTCAAAAACTAAAGCTTTTACAGCAAATGTGACAAGGGATAAAATTGTTCAATTGGTCAAGATTTATCAGCCCTGAAATTTTCAGACGATTCGAACAACCCATTGTTGGGTTTCTGCCACTGAATTGGTAGTTTTAACGAAATTTTTTGTTATTATTTTGAATATTATTATAGATAGATATAAAGTGTAAACAGCAATAATGTTCAGCAATGTAAGATCTTCAAAAAAGTGAAATGACCAAAATTGTCAATTGACCCCTTAAGGAGTTATTGCCCTTTAAAGACAATTTTTCACAATTTGTTCATCAAGTTTGCTAATATTTAAAAATCTTCTCCTCTGAAAAACAGGTGAGTGATTCAGGCTCTCGAGAGCCTCTTGTTATATTTTTGTAAACATTGTGTGTAGTGTTGTTTGCCCATTTTCTATAAAACTTCACAGGTTAGACTTGTTTTGTTCTTTGATTAGTTTTATTTAGTTCTAATTATCAAAGAAAGACCTCATCTATTTTCTAAATCATGCCACAATATCCCATCAATAGTAAATTCAGGGAAATTTTATATCATTTGTATAATATTAATTGTTTTATTTGTCGTAGATAATTGTTCATACAAAAGAAGTAAATCACAATAGTGTATTTTGGTTCAGCAACCTAGCACAAGAGGTTAACATGCATAAACATCATGGTTTGCCTTTCACTTTAAGAAAATTGTCCCCTTTTTCCCCCAACACACACATATGCAAACACTTTTCAATCTAATCATTATCATCGAGCTGAAGAAAGTGACCATTTCCAGCATGATCTTTAAAAGTAATTGGAGATAAAGTTATGATTGGAATCCCATCCTCTTCAAACTTTTATATAAATTTGCAAACTCTTTTTCATATAAAATGATAGATGTGAATATGTTCATGTTACTTTTCATATACTCCACACAGACACATTCTGAAATTATGTCTAAAAGATGCATAAGTAAGGACTAATTTTGTTGGGTTTTTTAAAAAAAAAGACAAAAATGAAAATCTGAAAAATAAAAAAAAATGCTAGTGGCTTTAAAAAAATCAATAACTTATTTAACAATTATTGGAGAGTTACTTGAAACAATTTTACCATATTTCTAAAATGAGCAAATTGCAACAATTGTATTCGTCTTTATTCCAGATTATATTGTTTTTTTAAAAGCATAAATTATTGTATTTTTTCAATATAGGAAATGTTTGGGTTTTTTTGCAATAAAGAAAGAAACCCAAGTTTAATAAAGAAAAAAAAGTTAATTTTAAGGTTAATATTGTTCATTTTTAAAAGTCTCTTTCTTAAAAATATGAGACCAAAGCTGGAAAAAAATGCTTCACACCATCCTTTCGAATATTCCTGTTTCCATCCACCTAAAAATCATTGATGACAAAATCAATAAGCAATCCTTGGGATGGATCAATAAGTGTCTGTTGCACTATAGATGTCATCATTAACATTGGTGTATTTGACCAAAAGAGGTAATTTTAAACATGGTTTTGCCCAATAAGATACGTTAAGTTCTTTGTAAAAATATAGGTCATATTGTCTCACTTATAAATATTTTTAAAATTAGCCTTTTTGGGATATTTTGCAGTTTTACTTCATTTGTGAGCTTTGACTCCCCAATGCTAATGCTTCATATACAATTAAAAGACTTAGTATGAATTCTGATATCATTTTGACTTTTAAAGTCTTCTTAACATCTCCATTATATTATTTCACACATTTTTATTTTCAATTTCCAAGAGTGTGGCCTTGTAAGACCTTGAACACAAAACTCTCTAAGGTCAACTTTACCTGAGGGAAAAATGGGACCTTAGTAATTCAGAAATGTATTAACAAAAAAGTGAAGAAATGTACATATTTTATAATATTATATTAGTGTAAGCTCTGACTACTAGGCTTAAGATAGCCTTGGGGTCTAACAGTCCATCAACAGTCGTAAATGACCAAAGCACATGGGTGGATAATGAGTAGGTGCAGTGTCATATAGGTCCCAAATATTATGAATATACTTTCCATGAAAAACATATACCGTCTAACTCCTTTACAAACTTATAAAGTTTCTAATGTCATAGATATCTTTGTTATACTGTCTAACTCCTTTACAAACTTATAAAGTTTCTAATGTCATAGATATCATTGTTATACTGTCTAACTCCTTTACAAACTTATAAAGTTTCTTATTTCATAGATATCATTGTTATACTGTCTAACTCCTTTACAAACTTATAAAGTTTCTAGTTTCATGTTGGGGGACATAAAAAACAAGAAAAAGGAAAATAATTGTTTTAATATTTTTTTCAGTGGAAAAGATGAAGGAAAGTGTCGATTTGCAGCACAAGATAATTGCTGCAGGAAAGAAGATCAAGTGAGATTATAAGGGTGGTTGCTCCTCATAAGTCTATTTTTCCATAATATTCAGGTTTTTATACGACCACAAAAAAATTTTGCGGTCGTATATTGGTATGGCGGCGTCGTCGTCGTCTGAAGACACATTGGTTTTCGCACTCTAACTTTAGTTTAAGTGAATGGATCTCTATGACATTTTACCATAAGGTTCAATACCACAAAAGGAAGGTTGGGATTGATTTTTGGGGTTATGGTACCAACAGTTAAGGAATTAGGGGCCAAAAAGGGGTCAAAGATAAGCATTTTTGTAACTTCCAGACATAACTTGTGTGTTAGTGTATGGATCTCTCTGACATTGTACCACAAGGTTCCATATCACAAAGGGAATGCTGGGATTGGTTTTGGGGGTGATTGCCTCAAAATTTTAGGAATTAGGGGCAAAAAAGGGGCAAAAAACAAGAATTTTTCTAGTTTCATGACAATAACTTGTGTGTAAGTGTATGGATCTTTATGAAATTGTACTACAAGGTTCCATATCACAAAGGGAAAGCTGGAATTGAGTTTGGGGGTAATTGCCCAAAACATTTAGGAATAAGGGGCCAAAAAGGGGCCAAAAATAAACATTTTTCTAGTTTCCAGACAATAACTTGTGTTCAAGTGTTTGGATCTCTCTGAAATTGTACTGCAAGGTACCATACCACAAAGGGAAGGCTGGAATTGATTTGGGGGTAATTGCCTCAAAATTTTAGGAATTAGGGGCCAAAAAGGGGCAAAAAAACAAGCATTTTTCTAGTTTCAGGACAATAACTTGTGTGTAAGTGTATGGATCTTTATGAAATTGTACTACAAGGTTCCATATCACAAAGGGAAAGCTGGAATTGAGTTTGGGGGTAATTGCCCAAAACATTTAGGAAGAAGGGGCCAAAAAGGGACCAAAAATAAGCATTTTTCTAGTTTCCAGACAATAACTTGTGTTCAAGTGTATGGATCTCTCTTAAATTGTACTGCAAGGTACCATACCACAAAGGGAAGGCTGTGATTGAGTTTGGGGTTGATGAATCATAAGGGGGTTCAAAAAATTTGGAGGGGGGGGGGATTTTTTTTTCCTTTTTTTTCTTTAAAATTTTCCATTTTAAATTGGTTATTTCTGATTTATATATAAAAGCAAATAATAATGATATGGTTTGAATAGGTAAATTAAATTTTTTTAAGTTCTTAGACCACATTCATTCTGTGTCAGAAACCTCTGCTGTGTCAAATATTTAATTACAATCCAAATTCAGTGCTGTATCAAGCTTGAATGTTGTGTCCATACTTGCCCCAACTGTTCAGGGTTCGACCTCTGCAGTCGTATCAAGCTGCGCCCAGAGGAGCATTTTATTTCATAGGCTATGTGTTTTTATTGAATTTTGCCCAGCAAGTTCTGTATATAACAATATATATGGTTTCAGAATTTACATCTCAAGTACATTTCAGGTAAAAGGTTTTGCAATTCTTACTTAATGGTTTGTAACTTTTAAATTGAATTTACATAGCTTCTATGAAACAGAACTTTTACCGATTGATCCGAAGTCGAAGGGGACAGTTTGCACTCTATCTGTCTGTTCATCCATCAGTCCAGCAAATCAGATTCCCACATTTATTTTCTTCGTGCTTAACAATATTTATTTTATATTTGGTGTATTGCTTTGAAATGACATCTTACAGATCAATTTCGAATTTTCACAGTCCACTGAACATAGAAAATGATAGTGCGAGTGGGGCATCTGTGTACTATGAATACATTCTTGTTAATACATAATCATATATATTTGCAAATTTGAAATAAAAAAAAAACGTTTATCTTTTAACTATTTTATACTAATATATAGGATGAGTCATACTCATGCTTAACTTCTACTACCTTTTTGGCTCGTTATTATATGTTTAATTGATCCAACTTATTGTGTACTATACATATATGGATATCTATTTTTCTTTTTTCTTTTTGGGCTGCTTGTTTGTTATCTATGTCAACCCACTTGCATTAAAATGCATTAGTATTTAAAAAAGCCACATATTATAGATTCTTATCTACATATTCTTTAAGAACTTAAATAGTTCTCATTAATCTTTTTTTTATATCATTGTTTGTATTGTATTATGAAAATTATCGATGTTGTAATGTTTATGCCCTTTGGGGCCCATAATTGGAAATAAAATATCTTCTTCTTCATCTTCTATACCAGACTGAGGCAAATTGTTTGTTTAGTTCATTCAAAGTTATTATAAAATATCAGGTTTTACCTTTAGCTGTCCATTAATGGATGTCGACATCAGCAAGAACCATAACTCATGGTTTTCCTTCATTGGTATCATGTAACCTTTACTTTTTGTAACTAAATGAATAGAAGACCAAATTTATGTTTTTCCAGGAACATATTAAATTTTGAAGAGGAAACATATAGTAATGATCCAGGCTCGCCCTCAATGGATGGAAAATTCGACTTTGAATTTAAAGCTCCTTCAAAGACAGAGAAAGTGAAATTCTGGAAGAAGAAATCTCAGAAAGAAGGTTGGTATATTAGATATGCCTAGCCTGATTGATTGATTGATAACTATTTCATAAGTATATTTTATTTAAAATGTTTGTTTTTGGAAACAAAACCTGATAAAAGAAGTGAATTTAGTGACTCTGAATCCTGCCCCTCCCCTCGATAAACCAGTTAAGACATCCCTATTTAGCTTACCTGTTCTAATATACAATGTGAGCTATTTCCATTCCTTTGTGTCTGTTATCTAGTGTAAAGGTTTTCAAAGATCTTCTCTTCTGCAAGTACTAATCCAATCAATCTTTGAATAAATGATCCTTATGGTATCGAGGCCAAAATTATTTTTGTTTAAATTTTGATTGGTCAACAAACATGGTTGCTATGGCGAAAAATAAAACATGGGGTAAATGCAGCTTTGCACTTTGGTCTATATGGAAAGTTGACTCAATGGCAATCATATGACATCTCCTTTTTGTGAAGCTTGCAACATTTATGTTAAGTAAGCAAAACATAGTGTTCATAGAATTTGTAATTGGTTGTGTTAAAATTTTGGACCAGGTTGTGTTTAAGATTTTTTTAGGCATCAATAACTTTGTCAAACCTTCGTGGAATCTTATGAAATTTGGACATGAGCTTGTTTATGACCAAAATACTGTATCCAGAGCCAAATTTTCAAAATATTTATCTTCGTTTTTCTGTTTACTTACATAATAGTTATAGAAAAACTGGTCATTATTGTGATATATGGACTGCCCACAGGACAGTGGTATTAACTAAGACAGAAATAAAGACCGAGCCATAGGCGACTGTCCCAGTCAATACCGCTGTCCTACTGGCTGTCCATGTATCACGATAATGACCAGTTCTTCAATTACTATTATGTTCATTTGTTTGAGGAACCATGTGAATCTCAAAAATTCAAATTGTTCAAAGCAAATTAGAGTAACTGGGTCAATATCCCTAATGGACCTTGAGATGAGGGACACAGATTTATGACTCTCATTAAAAAATTCCATACAGTTGTGGAAGCTTTGATTTTTAAAAAATTTACATAAAAGAACTAGGACTGGTGTTTTATAGAGCTGATGTGATGTGAAAAAAAGTATACAAAAATAAACCTAACAAATAGTTACAAAGGACATAATTTTTAATGATTTTTGTGGTCAGAATTTTTGGATTATTTCCTGAGGAGAGTGACATTTTTCACTATCTTTCTGGGTTGGGCACTTAATGGGAAAAGGAATCACACTTGCCACCCCAAAAAATCGCACCACACATGTACAAGTGTCTCAGCTTCAAAATGAGCCATCATACATATCCAAGTTTACGATATGGCCTGAGCAACAGAAGAAAACGTTAACATTACCGCCTATGGAGAATCTATTACACTGATAGGAAAGTGTGAAGACCAATCATAGGGATAACTATAAGTCAGTTCCATTCATTTAAGTGCATTTTTTCAGTTTATGAATACAAAATAGTTTTCTATAATTTTGTAATTAACGAAAACATATGGTAAACAATTCAACAATTGCAATATAAAATTGACATCACTCTAAACAGAGAAACCACGCCCCTCTAGTTATAAATATGTAAAATCTGTTAAAAACTGGTTTTCTGGTTTGTTTTTTCTGTTAAAGACCAATGAAAGTTTTTACTAAAGAATAAAGAATGTCATGTTGCACCTTGTTATCCAATAAAAGAAGCTAATTCTTAACTGATATGAAATAAACTATCATAGAAGACCCTTGATCTTGTCTTTGACCTCAAGAAACACAGTTTTCCTAGTTTTTAGGTAAAGATTGCATGAAATGCAACCAAAACCTTATGGGACTGACTTGATATCTAAATTTTCCAAGACTTATCACTACCTTTTTGATACACAAAATATAGTGCATTAATCATAACATTCTGTACATCCTATCCATGAACATTTCCAGAAATTAAACAATGTAATATATGCTAAGATATTCAAGGCACAAAATGATGTTACACTTGCCAAGAAAATTACATAACTTTTGCAAGGTGCATGAATTTCATACCTGTTTAGAATATAAATGATGTAATTGTTAAAGTCATCTTTAAAAAAAATTGAAGTTATCTTCCTTTGTCTAGAATTGATGTTAAATCAAGTACAACCAATGCAATATTTAATTTCACTTCCCACTGATAAATTGACGCTATCTTTACAAGCACTTTGATTTTAGCATCCATTTAGTTTTAGTTTTTATTGAGTAGGTCTACTTTACTAATAAATTAAATTAAGTCTTTTTATAGGTATATTTATGTTTTTTTATGCTATCTAAATATAATTTGATAATCAGTCATATTGTTGTAATAAAAAAAGGAAAAGTGGGTTACAGTAAGCACAAAGTTCATGTAGGCAGCAGAAGATAGGGACAAAAATGTTATCCGAGTTTTAAAGAATATGATCTCACACAAAGATAATTATTGTTAAAGCACAAGATGTACGGTTTAGATTATTTTTTGTGTATGAATTCTCCTTCACAGCACTTAAAGTGGTTAGAGTTAGGGATAGGTTTAGGGTTTAGATTATATTTAGTCTATGAATTCTCATTCACAGCATTTTAATGTTTAGAGTTAGGGTTATTTTTAGGGTTTCGATTATTTTTTGTGTATGAATTCTCCTTCACAGCACTTAAAGTGGTTAGAGTTAGGGTTAGGTTTAGGGTTTAGATTAATTATTTGGTATGAATTTTCCGTCACAGCACTAAAATGATTAGAGTTAGGGTAAGGTTTAGGGTTTAGATTATTTATGTTCTTCTTCGCTATACTCATACGAACATAAAGATTGTCTTAATAATACGTAAATAAAACAAAAAGCAATGTGGGATGAGAAATTGTACTGATCAGTTTAATATAAATATATTGTGACAATTCTGGTCATGTAAATCATGGTCTCCGAATCTCCGAATAATGGTAGGAAATCTACAAATATAAAAATGTTCAATCAGAAAAGAGATAACTCTATTTAATAACATATCATGAATGCAAAATATACGTGTCGATCTTATCAGTGAATTTTCTCGACAAGAGAAAAGGCGCGAAATCCAGATATATATGTATGAAAACCAAATTACCGAGTCTAAGCGTATGCGAATATTTATACGCCAAATTAAGAAATGAATTTATGTTCTTCTTCGCTATACTCATACGAACATAAAGATTGTCTTAATAATACGTAAATAAAACAAAAAGCAATGTGGGATGAGAAATTGTACTGATCAGTTTCGACAAAAACAAAGGAAGGTAGGATCTTTTAATCACAGAATTATAATCCCAAATTTTGAGAAATTTTAAGTCTATTTTCTAAATTTTCTTTAATGTAACCATCTTTAGCCTTGTCTGTCTTCCATCTACCGTGAGCTTTCAAAAGCCTGTCGGGAACAGAATTACTAGCAGCTGCTGTAGCACCGCCGCTCCTTAAACTATGTAGGCCAAATAAAGATCTATTTAGGCCTATGTCAGAAAGTGCATCTAAAATAATTTCCCTAGTTCGAGTGTAAGATAAAGGCCTATTCTTGCAGGCTAGTTTATGCTTATCAATAGATTTAAAATACGACAGAGCTCTAAAGATATATTCGTCGCTTCCAACGGACAAACTTGCAACGCGAAAATATTTCTGTAGCATAGAAACTGGACAAAGGTCTGTGCCAGTTCTAGAACCCTGTCGATATCTATCCATCTTACTTTTTTGAATGTTTATTTGTAGATGAGAATCGTTGAACGTTAAATCAGAAGATCGGATGTGTGCCAACTCGTCGTATCTTAGAAACCCAGAAAAACCTAACAACATCATAGCACAGATCCTCAATCCTGGCAAATTGTCATTTTTGTCGAATTTTGCAATAATACTCTTCAAAATCGTAGGGGTGATGGGTTCTTTCCTTTTCAAAGGTTTAGATAACAATCTTATGCCACCTTCTAATACCATGTCTAGTAATTTGTCATTTAATATACTGTCGTATAAATTAAGATCATGTTCCCACTTAATTGAATAGTACGCTGCGTTTAAAACGGCAGTGGAAACTCCAGATTGAATTAAGTAGTTAAGATAAATAGCAACAGTACAAACGGTGGTAGGCAAAAACGGCAGATTGTACTTTAAGCACCAGTATTTGAATCTTTTAAAATATCCTTTATATTTCTTCAAAGTATTTTCACTTTTTGAAGCAGTTACTACTGAACATAAAGAAACTGTTAGAGCTTTCAAGTCAGGATTTGAAAATTGCTTTAAGGATTCCCAATGCGAATGTTTGAATCTAAACTGAAATATAAATTTAAATGAAATTAATTATATTTAAAAATCATATTGTGAAATACTATATGTAAATGAATTTATTCAAAGATAATCTCGATTTTGATATACAAGTATACTAACAGACTAAATGTGTTTAGATAAAGATAAAACAAAAGTTAAACTAAATGGTATTTTGAGAGGGCCCAAACGGGACTTATCTTTGTAAAATTCGTCACAAAGTGACGCCCAAACGGGAAGCTAGTCATGCGTGCTAGAGGCCCAAGCGGGACTTATCTCTGTCGAATCAAACCGAACAAAATAAAACAGAATAATGCCCAAACGGGACTTCGGTGTATACGTGCTAGAGGGCCCAATCGGGACTTATCTCTTCAAAATAAATCAAAACAAAACAATGCCCAAACAGGACTTGTGTAAGTGTATTAGAGGGCCCAAACGGGACTTATCTCTTCATTATAGAACAATTACGGAATAAATCTAAATAATGCCCAAGACGGGACTTATGTATGCATACGAGAGGGCCCAATCGGGACTTATCTCTGAAATAAAAATAAAATACTAAATGAACCAAAGTTATGCCCAAACGGGACTTTAGTAATTGCACAAGACGGTATAAACGGTTTTATCTCTTTAAAATGCATATTAAATGCAACTCCAATTCTGATTATGCTCAACAAGTACGTATCGCAAAACAAATTCTTATAAATGCTATGCCTAAACGGGATTTGTTGCACACTACTAGTATAACACCGACAATAATAATACCAAACGGGACTTTTCACAAATAAACTCAGTATAACAAAACCATTATGGGCTTTGCCGCAAAAATAATTCAAGAAAAGAAATGTTCAAACGGAGCTTGCCGCCAAATAAGCTCTAGGAATAACAATTCTCAAACGAGACTTCAAAAATGACAAAACCCGATCTTGTCGCAAATTGAATGATAATATCAGACGGAAAATAATAATTGAGGAAAAAAAAAATACAAATGAATATGGAGTGATATACTTACGGATTTAACTTCAATCGATCTTTAATACGAGAACGTTGAAAGTTAATGGAGAATGGATGAAAATGCTTTTTTTATCCGAACCTTGACAAAAAAATCCAGATGGTTTAACATACTCTACGAAATCCTTTACAACAGATTTGTATTGGTTGTTCGATGATGACCACAATATAGGCCAAAAACATGACGAAGTCCATTTCGGAACAACGATAGTACCCTTTCCTTTACAAATTAACATATGATTCAATGTTCTACCTACAAGATGAACAGGAGGAACTAACCAACAGTTATAAGTATTCCACGAAAACCCGAAAGCATCAACACCAATATGCCGAAAAGAAAATAGGTAACTTGTGATTGTTGTAGTCGGCGAAAACATCGCAATCGAACGGACCCCATAAAGAATTAAAATACTTGAAATACACATCATTCACATACCAGTCATTAAAGTCAAACAGTTTGCTGTAAAAATCTGCAGTGGTGTTAAGCTCCCGGGGAACCCATTCTATTTCAAGGGATATGCAATTGTGAATACACAGATTAAATATTTTCAAAGCGATTTCTTGTAATTCTGATCTCATGCTCCCAGCATGCACAATTTTAACTACATTTTGATTGTCTGTATAAATTTTCACCAAACCATTTTGAAAGTCAGGCAATAAGGAAAATAGGGTTATAAATACTGCTGAAAGTTCTCTGAATGTAGAGCTTTTCTTCGCCTCGTCGGGAGTCCACATTTTATGTACAATTTTATTTGACGTTTGAACAGCAAATCCCGCACAAGCGAAGCCGCTTGCATCAGTAAAGACAATTCTATCCGGCAGAAATGAGACAGGAAAGAGAGATTTCCTGGGAAGTGATCTGCAATTATTCTTCCAAAAATTTAATTCTAGGATTGCTTCGTTGGTTAACTGAATATGAAAATCCCAATAATTGCTAGCGGTGATAAGAATGAGCATATTCCTGGACATTATCCTGCAAATGTTGCCAAAACTGGGAATAAAAGAAATTATCTTGCCAGTAACTCGTTCTAGTTGTCTAGCGGTGATATTATTGATGTTGCTAAAAATACCATCTATAGAAGTTTTAAAGCGCTCAATCTTATCTTCAGGTATCTCCAAATTAAAAGTGTCCAAATGCCAACGGAACCCAAGCCAAGTTAAAACTTTTGTGGGTTCCCAAATACTTTTTTCATGATTCGGGAAAAAACCCGCCGACAATATATCACGCTTTACGACCTTATAAAGCTTCACACAATCCTCAAAAGAGGACTCAATCCCCCAACCATCATCTAAATATATGATCATACGGTAACTTTGTGATCTCCAGTGCTTAACTAGTGGCCTCAAAACTTTAGAAAACACATGACCAGCTGTAGATAAACCAAACGGTAAACATCTAAAAACGAAATACTGAATGCCGGTTGGAAAAAACCAACAAAAACCTAAAAACTCTTGATGATCTTCATGTATATTAATATGATGATATCCACATTTTAGATCAACTTTTATCATAAATCCTGGATTTGATACAAATTGCAAAGCCTCAGTAACACCTTCGTATTTAAATTTCCTTTTTTCATTAAACTTATTAACGTGCCTCAAGTCCAAAATCAATCTCTTTTTACCTGAGTCGTTAACTGACACCGATAACGGATTAACGATAAAAGGAATGTGATCTTTCACCTCACGAATCACACCTGTTGACAATAATTCTATAATTGACGACTCAACAAAAGATGTGTGTTTTATAGCTGAACTGTTGTTCTTTAAAAAAGCTGACGTAGGCAATTTGTAAAAAGGTATAAGGTATCCAAATTCGACAACGTTAAGAACAAAAGTATTAGCATTTAAAGTATATTTCCAAAAGTCTAAATTTCTTCGTAAGTTATCTACTCTAAACGAGCTAGCTGAGGAGCACTCAAATTCAAAATCTTGATCGTGACTTATAAAAGGAGATAAATTGTACTTAACTGTTTCATCACTTTGCTCCTGAAGAACCACTGGTCTCGGCTGGTTGGAACCTACGTCTCTTTGGGCAGTGATAGGCCCAGTGACCCTCGCTATTACAGTAGTAGCACCTGTCTGTTGGTTGTGAACTGGTGAAGAAGTCATTCTGGTTGTAGATACCGGTGCGAGGTCCTGTGCGGGTTTGTGTTCCTTGTCCAATCGGGTATTTGTAGTTTCTAGGTACTTCTCTTGTAGATGCTGATGAAGTTTTACGAAAAGGCTCATCTTGAGTCACTTGAGGGCTCTCTGGTTCTGGAATATAAAGAGCAGAAAAGGTCCTTACTTTGTCACGTCTCTTAGCTTTAGCCCGGTAGTTGGCTTGTCTTAACTTAGTTGCATTGTCGGTCCCCTCTGTAATTGGGTCGTCTGTATATTCGTCCACGACGTCCCAACCGCATTTGTCGGCTATTCGAAGAATCTTATTTCTTTCCTTTAGGGCTTTTTTGCTCTTTTCTAGGTACTGAATGGCTAAAGCCAGAGAGTCTTTCTCTATGAGTTTAAGGGTCTTTTCAAGTTCTACTAAACGATCACCGTTAAAACTAAATTGTTTTTCATTACCGTCGTACCTGAATTTAGGAGTCTGTTTTACCGGAGGTACACTTTCAGCTTCTTTAACACCAATTCTCGTGTCAATCTCCTTGAATAGCTCTTCTTTGTGCTTTCTCAATGTCAAATCAAGGCTCTTGGTAAACACCGATAAAGCATCCTCAGGTGAAAATCGAGTAGACCCTTCACGTTCTTCACTGCGTTCAATTCGTATAGGCGATTCCGGTTCAGGTTCACTCATATTAATAAGGTCAGTTTACGTGTCGATCTGATCAGTGAATTTTCCTCGACAAGAGAAAAGGCGCAAAATCCAGATATATATGTATGAAAACCGAATTACCGAGTCTAAGCGTATGCGAATATTTATACGCCAAATTAAGAAATGAATTTATTATGTATAAACTCTCCTTCACAGCACTAAAATGATCCCAGTATTAAGTAAAAATTCTTTTTTTTTTCAGAAAATGTCCATTCAAGTTTAATGGAAATAGACAAAGATTCCAAATTGAACATAGGAGAGACTACAAAATGGCCTACAGGATTTTTTACACAGTACACTAATTTGACAATAAGATCATTTAAGTTGTCAAAGGGCAGAATTCTGGATAAAACAAAGATAATAGAAAATGTTATTATCTGTGCTATTGTTAGCCTGATTTGGTTCCAACTTCCAAGATCTGAAGACACACTAAGAGACAGAATGGGAGCAGTGAGTATAACTGAAGACACACTTTGAAACACTTAGTTTTCTGACAATAACTCCAAACTGCTTTCAGCAGGTCTCATGAAACTTTGGTGAATTGTTTATATCTATTGATGTAAGCTCCCTTTAGATTTTTATTAATTTCTGATTTGACTTTGAGAAGTTATTGAACTTTATTCTTTGAAAACATGATGGACATATCATGCACTCATAGTGCTGCTGTTTATTTATATACCTGGTAGCTAAATCCCATTTAATACATGTATATGAATTACATGAATGTATGAATGATCTTTAGCTAAAACAAAACACTTGCATCTGTATAAAACACCAACTCTGAAGAAATAAACAATTAAATTTAGTAGTTTATACATTGTAATGCATAATCTGGTTCCAAATTGATTTATTTACTTTTTTCATTCCGAAAATACAAGCTAGTTCCCCTTTATGTTATGCAATGCCATGAATAGAAAACAAATAATTTATAATGAAGCATTTTATGTTGATATTAATGATTAGATATAGGAAGATGTGGTATGAGTGCCAATGAGACAACTCTCCATCCAAATAACAATTTATAAAAGTAAACCATTATAGGTCAAGGTACAGCCTTCAACACGGAGCCTTGGCTCACACCGAACAACAAGCTATAAAGGTCCCCAAAATTACTAGTGTAAAATCATTCAAACAGGAAAACCAACGGTCTAATCTATATAAAAAACAAAACACGAGGGTTAGGGTTAGGGTTCATATTGGATTTTTGATTAAAATTGCATACTATTGACAATAGTACTTAAGTAATCTGCATCTTTTATTGTTGACATATTTCGCCGATTAGATCGTCATCAGCACAAAGTATACAAAATTAAAACCCCTGAAGTACAAAAAATTGGTATATTGTATGTGACGTGATAATTGTTGAATATACTATAGGATGCTGTATATAATTATGTAATGTTCAACAGAAAAATAATAAAAAATAGTACAATACAAATGATGTTACTAAATTTAGTAGTACATTTTCAGTAAAACATGACAGAACGTAAACAAACCTAGCAAAATCAAGTTTTTCTCTTATTTCTTTGTTTATCGTGCTCTGTTATCTGCTCTATTATCCGCACCCTGCCAGGTGAAAGGTATCTTTCATCAGGATGTATCAGATTTTGCATGAATTGAATTTAGATCAGACATCATTAAGACAATCTTATAACTATGGTTTGGAAGACATTTTGTAAATGTGTTTAAAAATATTTAATTCATAAGAGTATTTTTGCAGGTATTTTTTATTGGGATGCACTGGGGATTTATTCCAATGTTTGATGCTGTTACTTCATGTAAGTATCAAATGATCACAACAAGAGATGAGTACTTTGTTAAATTAAATTTTAATGTTAACTTACCCAAAGTAACATTGTATACTATTTTGATTGTGTGATGTCATTGTGAGTCAGACTATTGTGTGATGTCATTGTGAGTCAGACTATTGTGTGATGTCATTGTGAATCAGACTATTGTGTGATGTCATTGTGAGTCAGACTATTGTGTGATGTCATTGCGAGTCAGACTATTGTGTGATGTCATTGCAAGTCAGGCTATTGTGTGATGTCATTGTGAATCAGACTATTGTGTGATGTCATTGTGAATCAGACTATTGTGTGATGTCATTGTGAGTCAGACTATTGTGTGATGTCATTGTGAGTCAGACTATTGTGTGATGTCATTGTGAATCAGACTATTGTGTGATGTCATTGTGAGTCAGACTATTGTGTGATGTCATTGTGAATCAGACTATTGTGTGATGTCATTGTGAGTCAGACTATTGTGTGATGTCATTCTGAATCAGACTATTGTGTGATGTCATTGTGAATCAGACTATTGTGTGATGTCATTCTGAATCAGACTATTGTGTGATGTCATTGTGAATCAGACTATTGTGTGATGTCATTGTGAGTCAGACTATTGAACAAAATTGCAAAAGGCCAGTTTGGTCTAATCTCTTAATTGTAAGATAAAAAAAAATGTCAAAAATGAAAAATATTTTTTTTACAAATGCAAGAACAAACAATATATTTTTACAAATACAAGCACTAGACAAAAAAAAATGAACAGAAAGATGTCTTTAAACTTTTGATGAATATAATAGAACAATCAATCTTTAAAAGTTCTATGATTTTATTAAGACAGCAATGGCATATTATATACAAGTAAACATTACTCACCAAAGTGGACAATTGAATAGCTGCTATCAAGAATATTGAGATAGGAAAAATGGTTTCCCACACAGCTACTTGTATCTGTTTTTAGCACAACCCTTGTAAATTAAAGTAATATTTGTTAAGCCTAGTCCAGTTTGTACAGTAGTAGTTACATGTGATACCTATCTGAGTGGATATACTTAAAATATCTTCAAAGACATTTTCATAATGTATACTGACCAAATGTGTTCAATACTATGGCTTAAGCTATTCAACATTGTGGGAATTAGTCACATGTTTTTTTTTAATTTACAGTTCCATTAGAGAAAATTGTAATAAACAAAGAGAGGGCAGGAGGTTGGTATAGACTGTCAGCTTACTTCCTTGCCAAGTGTACCAGTGAGCTCCCCTTGATACTATTACAGCCACTGTTCTTTGTCACGGTGGCATATTGGTGTATTGGTCTTAGTGGTGTGGCTGAATTCTTTGCAACCATGGGCACTGTGTTCATAACAGCTTTAGCTGGCCAGGTATGGAAATGACATCAGAAGTGTATCAGATTTACATATAAACAAGTCTAAATTGAAAACAACGTTCAAACCTATGATTGTGATTTTTGGTGTAAATAGCATTATGTATAAGTTTCATAACATTTGGTTGAGGCTGACTTAAGGAGGCTCAAGGGTATAAAAACTTCAGAAAAAAAAATTTTTCATTACACTTTTTATTTATTACTTTATTAGTTGTTACTTTATCATATGGTGCAAAAATCATTAAAAAAAATCAATCTGTTTTGGCCCCAGACTACTTTTAAAACATTTATATAATTGAAACAGCTCCAAATTATCTCCCTTTGGTGGAAAAATGCCATATTTTGGCATTAAAATTGAAATCACTTTTTTAACTCGTCGGTGACCTATATTTTTTATTTTCATTTTCAAATAAGCTGTACTTAAACTAAGGGTGCTATAAATAGTTTCGTATAAAAAACTAGGGGTTATTCCCCGACTAAAAATAACCATGGAGGGAAACCCCTGTTTATTTACTTAATTGGTGAAAAAGTATCATGTTTTTTGTATTTGATTGTAAAAATTAGTTAATTAGCTTTCAATTTAAACAGGTTGAATGATTGAAATAATTTTAAAAATTATATTAGATATACATGTTTTAAGGGGAGACAACACTGTAAACATCCTGTTTTTTGGGCAGTGAAAATTGAAAACTTATTTGCAGCCACTGTAGCTCTTTTCGGAGCAGGAAACCGTACCCTGAAACAAGATTTTTTAGAAAGGCCAGGTAAAAACCTATATAATTTCATACAGTTTTGATAATGTAAAATGTGCATGGATCATGTCTTCATGGGTGTCACATGACCTGGTTTCAGGTTTTTATACGACCGCAAAAAAAATTTTGTGGTCGTATATTGGTATGAAGTTGGCGTCGTCGTCCTCGTCTTCGTCGTCCGGCGTCGTCGTTGTAGCCCGAAGACACATTAGTTTTCGCACTCTAACTTTTGTTAAATGAATGGACCTCAATGAAATTTTACCATAAGGTTCAATACCACAAAAGGAAGGTGGGGATTGATTTTGGGGGTTATGGTACCAACAGTTAAGGAATAAGGGGCCAAAAATAAGCATTTTTGTAACTTCCAGACATAACTTGTGTGTAAGTGTATGGATCTCTCTGACATTGTACCACAAGGTTCCATATCACAAAGGGAATGCTGGGATTGATTTTGGGGGTATTTGCCTCCAAATTTTAGGAATTAGGGGCCAAAAAGGGACAAAAAAACAAGCATTTTTCTAGTTTCATGACAATAACTTGTGTGTAAGTCTATGGATCTCTCTGACATTGTATCACAAGGTTCCATATCACAAAGGGAATGCTGGGATTGATTTTGGGGGTAATTGCCTCCAAATTTTAGGAATTAGGGGCAAAAAAGGGGCAAAAAACAAGCATTTTTCTAGTTTCATGACAATAACTTGTTTGTAAGTGTATGCATCTCTCTGACATTGTATCACAAGGTTCCATATCACAAAGGGAATGCTGGGATTGATTTTGGGGGGTAATTGCCTCCAAATTTTATGAATTAGGGGCAAAAAAGGGGCAAAAAACAAGCATTTTTCTAGTTTCATGACAATAACTTGTGTGTAAGTGTATGGATCTTTATGAAATTGTTCTACAAGGTTCCATATCTCAAAGGGAAAGCTGGAATTGATTTTGGGGGTAATAGCCTCCAAATTTTAGGAATTAGGGGCAAAAAAGGGGCAAAAAACAAGCATTTTTCTAGTTTCATGACAATAACTTGTGTGTAAGTCTATGGATCTCTCTGACATTGTACTGCAAGGTACCATACCACAAAGGGAAGGCTGGGATTGATTTTGGGGGTAATTCCCTCAAAATTTTAGTAATTAGGGGCCATAAAAGGGCAAAAAAACAAGCATTTTTCTAGTTTCAGGACAATTACTTGTGTGTAAGTGTATGGATCTTTATGAAATTTTACTGCAAGGTTCCATATCACAAAGGGAAAGCTGGGTTTGAGTTTGGTGGTAATTGCCCTAAACGTTTAGGAATTTGGGGCCAAAAAGGGGCCAAAAAACAAGCATTTTTCTAGTTTCCAGACAATAACTTGTGTTCAAGTGTATGGATCTCTCTGAAATTGTACTGCAAGGTACCATACCACAAAGGGAAGGCTGTGATTGAGTTTGGGGGTGATGAATCATAAGGGGGTTGAAAAAATTGGGAGGGGATTTTTTTTTTCTTTAAAATTTTCCATTTTAAATTAGTTATTTCTGATTTATATATAAAAGCAAATAATAATGATATAGTTTGAATAGGTAAATTAAAAAATTTTAAGTTCTTAGACCACATTCATTCTGTGTCAGAAACCTATGCTGTGTCAAATATTTAATTACAATCCAAATTCAGTGCTGTATCAAGCTTGAATGTTGTGTCGATACTTGCCCCTACTGTTCAGGGTTTGACCTCTGCGGTCATATCAAGCTGCGCCCCAGCGGAGCATTTTATTTATGTTCAAATTAGACCTTTTTTTCCCCCATGTTTATTGGATGGAATTTTTTTAATATATTAAAAGTACACATTATTTATATTTCATTATAAACTAGAGAACAATCTGATTCCAGTGATATCTAGTTTTATACAAGTATCTTTATTAATCAGTCCACCACTAAGGGTCACTTATGCATGGTCCCTCAAAATATGACGTCATAGAAAAAAACTGTTGATTGCACCCTAAACTATTGTAAAATTTTTGCGATTTCTGTAATTTAGTTCTTTTTTTATTTTAATATTACCTCTGTTTCTCCTATTAGTTCAACAGAAAAAAAAGTACATTTACAGAAATGTATGCTTCTTTCAAATGCAGATTGTGAGAGGAAATGAATAGTGACCCCATTTTTTATTTTATTTTTAGGCAGTTAAGCTGACTTATGCGAGCACCAGATTTGTGTTCTACCCAATAAATGCTGAAATACGTGCCATTGTTATTATCTAGCTGGCTATTATGTTATTTATAACTAATTGGACATTTTTTTAATACTTTTATTTCTGGAATACAAAAAAATATGACCAGAAAAACCTTAAATGATCGTCGAACTACCAAAAACTTTTGAAGTTGCACATAGGAAGTAGTGCTCAATAGAAATCCGTACGTAGTTTATTATTCCTGTGCTTCTGGCTACGATGTCAAAGAACAATTGTTTGAAATATTTCATCGCCGAAAATCGGTAATTACAAGTCGTTTATATTTCCCAACTGGCAAAATGCGCAGGAATATTGTTCATGTACTACAAATCTCTATGATAGAGGAAATATAGTTATATAAGTGGGCGGTAATTTTTAACTTATCTTGCCAAATAAGGTTGTTGTTATATTTGAATCCATGACAAATCGCCCCACTGGCAAATCGCCCCACACCTAATCGCCCACTTTTTCACCAACTCGCCCCACTTTCTAAAAAATCACCCCACTCTTGTTTACCAACTCGCCCCACTTATGAAAAAAGGTAAAATCCCATTGAAAATAGGTTGGATAACTTGCCCCACTTATGAAAAGGGTTAAAATCCCGCTGAAATAAGGTCTGCCACTCATGACAAATAGATAAACCACGATGAATTCAGTAATGCCAACTCGCCCCACTTATGAAAAAAGATGCAATCCCGTTGTATATCTATGTTCCTACCCCACTTATGAATAAAATCAATACCTATAAAAACCTTAGATAAACATGTTTTTGTAGTTCTTTTCTCTTTGTTGAAATAAAGCAGAAAGAAGTGAGTATCAGTATTTCTGCGACTTGAATGCCAACTAGCCCCACTTGTGAAAAATAGAAAAATCCTGATGAATTGAGTCATGCCAACTCGCCCCACTTATGAAAAATAGAAAAATCCTGATGAATTGAGTCATGACAACTCGCCCCACTTATGAAAAATAGAAAAATCCTGATGAATTGAGTCATGCCAACTCGCTCCACTTATGAAAAAGGAAGCAATGCTGTTGAATTTATGTCTGCCAACTCACCCCACTGATAAATAAAAGTATGTACAGAATTAAAGCCTACCAACTAGCCCCACTTATGAATAAAAGAATTAAACTGTAATGAATTTAGGCCTATTCACCCCACTTGTGAAAACGTTAGAAATGCATCATGTTTTTTTGTTATTTTCTTTTGGTTGAAATAAAGCAGAAAGAAGTAAGCATCAGCATTTCTGTGACATTTTTTTTTACTGGTAAATATATTCAATGTTTTATAAGATAAGTCAAGAATCATGTGTGTTTACATAATTTTACTCTCAGATGACAGGTTTGCACATCTACATAAGTATGCATAACAATAACATTTTAAACAAACATACATTAAATCAATTATGACAAGCACAGGCATTATAATATAAAACGAAGTACTAGATAAAATGTCAGCACTAGAAACATGAACATGAATACACATATATGGCATACAATAGATTGTCATTAGATAGTTCAGTAGCTGTCTGCTTCCACGACTGGACCGTTGACACGACCACACTGGCGTAAGAGTCAGGTTGTAGATATGCTGCCTGCAATACAGCACAAGGATACACAGTAGACATAGTAAATGCATGACAAAGGCTACTTTACTTTTTATAATTTTGAAACCAAGCCATAAATTTCTCAATTTTTATTGTTTTCAAACCATAAACAAAACTTACCAATCAATTTTTCAACAACAACAAAACCTGCTTTGACTTGAATGAAATAATGGACATTCTCTTTGATATTTACTTGAAAGTAACATTTGCCTTTCACTGATTGCTCGTAAGTGTTTAATTATTCTTAATTCAAAGACAAAAGTAACCAATACGTTTAGTGCTATAAAAACAAATTGCTGTTAATTGAAATCCTTCAATTGTTATGATAAAATATCGGATTATGATACAATTAACAGGTTTCTTTTCAATTGTTATGCAAATAACTAAGCTTACAAGAATAAAGTTATTCTCCAATAATACGAAAATTACATGATAATAAATAA